GGGAAAGAGAAAGTAAGAAGATCGATGGCTGCCAGGGGTGAGGGTGAGGATGTAGGATAGATAAGTGGAGCACAGAGGAGTTTTGGAGAAGTGGAAATGCTCTGTAATGGGGGGAACATGCCATTAAACATTTACTGAAACCCATACACTTTACAATACCCAAGAGTGAACTCTGACGTGAACTACAGACCTTGGGTGATTCTGGTTTGTTGATGTAGGTTCCATGATAACAAGGTACCACTCTTGGGGGGGAAGGTTGATAACAGAGAATATTGATAGCGGGGAAGGCCATGCATGTGTAGGGGGAATGGGTATATGGGAGATTTCTGTATCTTCTTATCAACTTTGCTGTGAGCTTAAAGTCACTCTAAATGTTAATCTTTAAAAAGGCAAATTGTGCCAGCCTATGGCATGGTGGTGAAGTCAGCTGGATATCACATGGCAGATTATCCAGTTTGAGTCCCAGACTCAGGAGCTTGAGAATCATGCAGGGCATATGTGTGTGTGTGCCCCAAATCCTAACACAAGGAGAGATGGAAGAGAAGGGATTGAAGTGTGACCATTCTGCATGGGAGACTGGGTGTGTTCTCACTCCCTCCACCTTCTCCCCGTGTCTCTCTCCAGCAGGTACACACACTTTTAAGCAAAATTAAAAGAAAAAAAAAAGGGCAATTGACCCAGTCACAGTGGTGCACAGGAGGCATCATCACTTAGGAGGCTGAAAGCTGCGTGGGAGGCACAGGTTCAATTCCCAGGCTCACATGAACATGCTGGGTGTGGCTGTTCATACCTGTAATCCTATAAAGGGCCTTTTCACTGTGTCTTCATTTTCTCTCACTTTTCTAGACTAATATCAAAATGCAACTAAACTATATATAAAAACTTTATGGATAATGGGTATGCAATATTTATTTGTAGGCATTTAGACCAAGACATTTTGGTAAAATATTAAGTTTCTCCTTTCATTGTTCAAATCTCAGTATTTGATTAAACTCATCTCACACAATGAAAAAAACTATACTGTATGAGGATTTCAAGAACAAGATTATCGTCAAGTGAAGAAGAGATCGAGATGTCTGTTGTCCTTGTTATTCAAATTAAAACCAGCTTTTTTTTTTTTTCCTGTAGGGCATGTCCACTGATCTTTTTTTTTTTTTTTTCCCTGTAGGGCATGTCCACTGACCAGAGAGACAGATAGTAAGAAATCACACACACCCCCAAGAGGGATGACCGCAATCCCTTTTCCTCCATTCTCCTCTCAGGATTTTGGGGATGTACTCACACATGACTGGTGTGAGTTTTAAGCTACTGGGTCCAGGATTTCAACTGAGGTCAGCTACATGGTAGTCCAGTGATGTAACCATTTTGCCATCTGCTAGGCCCCAGCTATTCATTTTTTATTGACATATATTAGCTGTACACATTTGTGAGGTATAACGTGATTTGTTTCACACTTATAATAAAAGAATCTAGCATATAACGATTAAGTCAGGGTAATGAGGATATCCATCATCTCAATCATTAGTCATTATTTTGTTTTAGGAACATTCAAAATCTTGTAGTTACTCAGAGATAGACAATAGATTGTTGTAAACTATATTCTTCTTACTGTATTATTTATTTATTTATTTATTTATTTTTTTTGAGAGGTTTTCGCTATAGGGCGCGTGCGCTCGCCAGACAGACAGAGAGAGACATAGAGACAGAAAGCAAGAAATCACCCCCCAGGGGGGATGGTCACACCGCAATCCCTTCTCCTCCATTCTCCTCTCGGGATCTTGGGCACACACGCACACGCGCCCAGCATGAGTTTTAAGTCACCGGGTCCAGTACGCGAACCGCAGTCGACTACGTGGGAGTCCAGCGACATAGCCATTACGCTAACTGCTGGTTCCCTGTATTTTATTATTTTTTATTAAATTTTTTTCTTAGATTTTTGCCATAGGGTGCATGCACTTGCCAGAGAGAGACAGAGAGACAAGAAAGTGAGAAATCACCCTTCATAGTGGATGCTCACACCACCATCCCTTCTCACTTTTCCCCTTGGGATTTTGGGTACACATGCACATATGATTGGCATGTTCTTCAAGCTGGCCTCATGGGATCCAGCACCTTAACTACCATGTCACCTGCTGGCTTCCTTACTGTGTTTTATAACACTAGAAATCATTCCTCTGTCTGTAATTTTGTTTCCTTCAATCAGTCTCTCTATATACTATCCCACCCCCCTACCCTGCCCAGTCTCATAGTCATTTTTCAATTTTCATGGACGAATGAGAACATGTGGTATTTCTTATTTTATATTTTGACACCCATGTGTGGTTATGTCTTCTTCAAAATGTGTGCCTCAGAGATCATGCACGATTTTTTTGTTTCTAGAAAAAGCCATCCAAGAAAGTGGAAGAATATTAATAGAGAAAAACAGGTAAACATGGGAACCAGCAGTTAGCGTAATGGCTATGTCTCTGGACTCCCACGTTGTCGACCGCGGTTCGTGTCCCGGACCGGGTGGCTTAAAACTCACGCCGGGCGCGTATGCGTGCGTGCCCAAGATCCCGAGAGGAGAATGGAGGAGAAGGGATTGCGGCGTGACCATCCCCCCTGGGGGGTGATTTCTCGCTTTCTGTCTCTATGTCTCTCTCTGTCTGTCTGGCGAGCGCACGCGCCCTACAGTGAAAATCTCTCAAAAAAAAAAAAAGGTAAACAATAGCATCTTATAACAGAAAAATAAATAAATATTTTTAGATAAAACAAAATAATGGCAATATATTTGAGGAAGTCAGAACTACCACTTAAGGAGAGAACTGAAAGGAGAGTTTTTTACTTTAACCAAACAAAGTACCTGATGGTTGTAGACAGTGACAGAAAGGGAGCCCAGGCTTAGAGAAAGCACAGTGAGCCAGGCATAAAGATCCAAGGGTCTTGCTTGAGTCGTGCATGATTTCTTGTCTTCTCTGTCTGTTTGCTTTTTACTTTGGGCATATGTAGTTCCTGGTATTATTTTATTTTTTGAGAATTTTTTTGCTATAGGGCATGTGCGCTCGCCAGACAGACAGAGAGAGACATAGAGACAGAAAGCGAGAACTCCCCCCCAGGGGGGATGGTCATGCCGTAATCCCTTCTCCTCCATTCTCCTCTCAGGATCTTGGGCACGCACACACACACGCCCGGTGTGAGTTTTAAGCCACCCGGTCCAGGACGCAAACCGCGGTCGATTACGTGGGAGTCCAGCGACATAGCCATTATGCTAACTGCTGGTTCCTGGTCCTGGTATTATTTTAAGATGAGAAAATTGGACTAGATGACCTCTGAGGCCCCCTTTACCTCTCATGTTCTTCATTTCTATAAGTGACACTAAAGAAGTCAGCAACCAGTAATAAATAATAATAATTAACTTCATTCTGCAGGATCCAATTGTGGGGATAATTCATCTCTAACTGTTCTCATTCTTTTCGTCTCTGTTTAGAATCCCATTTCCAGAGAGAGTAAACTAGGTCCACCTAAGACTTACATCTCACCTCTTGACTAATGAGTAGTTGTGACCTTGTTCAACTGGCCCATCAAAAACTTCAATGGGGAGGTGGTAGTTCTCTAAAGTGAACCATGGCATTGTTTCCAAAATAAGGGTCACTCATGTCTCCTTCACTTGTAAAACAACAAAAGGTAACCATGTGTCAGAACGGTTGCTTTAAGTCCATACCATGTCAACCAGTATTAGTCCTCATTCAACTGTCACTTTTCAAGTTTGGATTCAAGTTTGGATTTTCTTATCACAGAAAGTATTTTAATTCTTTTTTTCCCTTTCTCATTTTTCCCCATAGAGGGCCCATGTGCACCCAGAGAAAAACAGAGATACAGAGAGAGGAATTAGAGAAAGTGCTCCTCTTGGAGAATGATCATGTCATAATCCCCTCTCCATCTCACCCTTCTTTTGGGATTTTGGACTTGCATACCCATGTATCCAGCATGTTCTTCAAGCTGCCTGATCCAGAACTTGAACCACATGAAATTGAACTTCGAAATTTCCCTAGTACCTGACTTCAGGTTCAGGAAAACTGAAGTGATTTTAAATGTCGAATCAGAAGTTACAGGCTATATGGGGTCTGGCTACCTTGACTACCAGGCCATGAAGCTGGCTCTGTTCCATTTCTTGTATCTTAAAATAAATAAATAAATAAATAAATAAATAAATCAGCATTAGAGCTAGCAAATGGCATAGGGGTTAACACAGCTGAATCCCACATGGCTAACTGGGTTGTTCAAGTCCTAGACCTGGTGGCTTAAAAAACACATGGAGCATGCGTACATGTATGCCCCAATTCTCAAGAGGAGAATGAAGAAGGGATTGCAGTATGGCCACCCCCCTGGGGGGGTGATTTCTCTCTCTTTCTCTCTCTCTCTCTCTCTGTCTTTCTCTGGTGAGCACATGCACCCTATAGCAAAATACAAAAAAAAAAAAAAAGAAAAATTAGCAATTAATTACATAAAGAGGAACACATCCAACACTTGCTCAGGAAAATATCTTTGTACCTTGCTTTGCCAATTATAAGCCATCTAACTTTGGTCAGTAAGTTGAACTTTCTTTGTCTCAGTATCTTTATTGATAAGCAGATGGGTTAGGGGATCTTTAACACCTGGTAACATCTTATCATCCTCACACATTTACAGTAATAAATGCTCCCTACTATTTTAGGGCCACACAGTATTGCAAAATTTATTTTATGTCAAAAATCCTGTGAAATGGTATAAAGCTACTAGAAAACCTACCAGAAATATCAAAAGAAGATTTATTTATTCATAATTTTAAAGAACATGATTTTTCTTCCCAAATGATTTGAAGGAAATAAAAGGAAGCTGTTTGTAATTGGAAAAATGCTGAAATTCAGACTAGCGGTAATGTAGCAACCAGGTAGATGCTTTTAAAATTTTTAATTAAATTGAATGCCATTGAAATAAAATGAATATGTTGGGTAAATGCAGTTAAAGAAAAGGATAAAATCTGTTATTTCTTGGACTATTTTTCAGATAAAAGTTTCTAATTTGAAATTACTAGAGCAACATAAAACATATTGTCAGTAAATTTTGATGACTTTCAATGAGATTACTCTTATTCTTAAACATTATATACTTGAGATTTTTCTAGAAGCAACAGTAATATATGTATTAGGATGTGCAATAAAACCTCTACAGAATTATTAGATTATTTATTCTTACTTTTTATTACATCTTGGTATGTATTTGCTGTTATTTAAAAAATTAATATTTAATGTTTTAAATTTTGTTTTATTTTGACAGGGGACATTACTTGAAAAGATAGGTCTTATGAAATCTGAAGAATTATTTTCCAGGGCAGCACAAGCCTATTTCACAAAACCAATTTCAGATGAAAATGTTACAGTAATTGACACAGCCTTTAATGGCATTCCAGTACGTTTGTATTTGCCAAAAAAGAAGTCAGAAAGAAAGAGACCAGCTGTAATTTTTATTCATGGTGGTGCTTTTGTCTTGGGAAGTTGCAGTAAGTGCATTTTTTTATATGTGTGTATTTGTATGTGTGTGTAGTACATTATACAGTCACAAGTTGCTTAACAATGGAGATGTGTCCTGTAAAATATGTCAATAAGCAATTTCATTGTGTGAGCATCGTATATAGTGTGTGTACATGTGTATGTTTGGGAGAATGTTTGTTGATATGGTATTTATTTTTTGTGAGACTGTACATGTATCATAGCAAAGAGAGAAGACCATATCAATCGTGGTTCATATTGAATTCTTCAGATACACAGGGTAGCAAATACAATTTACAAATTAGGAAAGATTGGTACATTGGATTCCCACATGTCAGACCACAGTTTGAGTCCCAGAATCACCAGCTTGAAAATCATGCCGGTCGCGTGTGCATGTATGTCCAAAATCCCAGGAGCAGACTGGAGGAGAAGGGATTGCATGATGGTCATCCACTCTGGGGGCAATTTCTCACTTTCCCTCTCTCTGTCCCTTCCTCTCTCTCTCTAGTGAGTACACAAGCCCTATGGCTAAAACCTTAAAAATTTTCAAAAAGATTTTTAAAAAACCTCTGTATTATTAAATAAATTCATATTGACAGCAAAAATTGCAAAGTTTAAGTAGTGAACTTGAAATTTAACTTTGAAATTACCCAAGGACCTGACTTCAGTTTCAGACAAATTGAAGAGGACAAGATGTTTTAAAAGTTGAATTAGAAGTTATGTGATCTGTAGTTACCAAGCAGCAAACATGTTCAAGTAGTAGACTAATGCAAAAGTAATGTGGAAGGTTGGAATCCAATGTGTAACTTTGAAATTAAAATGAAAGATAAACAGAGTTGAGTAAAATCAGCTTCTCCCTAAAAGTCTCTATTCCCATAGAATATTTGGACATGATTGCATCAGGTGCAGTGGAGTAATTCAGACACACACATGCATGCACACACACATGTGTATGCACACACATTCATTCTCTTGCTTTTAGACTATTGGTGTATATAGTACAGAGTCTTCACATAACACAGAGTACAAAGAATATTGTACTATAAGCTTAGAAGACACAAGAAGAAAATAAGAACTCTTTCCTGCGAGATCCTACAGCCTGATCATTATACCCAGAATTTAGGATCCATGATCTGTTAACATTTTAAAACAAGCAAAAATGTTAATGCAGGGCTCGGCAGGTGGCATGGTAGATGCAGGACTCCTACTGCAGTGTGAGACCTAGACCTGGTGACTTGATGTCTCACTCTCCCTCTACCTCTCCCTCTCTCTGGGCAAATTGAATAGTAGTAGTAATAAATAAAATAAAATAAATAATTATTTTTTAAAAATCAGGAAAAAAATGCTATCCCAATCAGCTGGGTGGTCAAGTTTTACTTTGCTACGTAAGCACCTTCTCAGGACAGGTATTATTATCACAGTTTTAAATGTGTGGCAATATACATAGAGGTTAAGTGATTTTCTCTAAGTCTAATTACTTAAGTGGTGGAACCAAGAAGAAAACCTAGGCCTATCGGTAGGATCCACTGATGTAACCTTCGTACCGTTCGTGAGCAGTCCGCCATGCTCTTAATGTGGGTAAAGATGCTATCTCTTACATGGAGTGAGCTTTTATCCCTATCTCTTACATGGAGTTAGCTTTTTTCCCTATCTGCATGACATTTCTGCACTTTCAGTACTCTCCCTACATTTCTCAGCACCTCGCCCATCCCCTATCAAGATGTATGTCCAGTAATTCCACAGGCTCCATTCCTTCACATGCGTCCCTTCACCCTCTGGATATTTTCTTAAAAATTATTAGGACTTGGGACCAGCAAATGACATATTGAATGACTGAAAATAATTTTGGCATTGGTTTTAATAAAACGTTATCACAAAATTTAATTAGTAATGCTCAATCTCTTTGATCTTTTTACTTCTCTTAAGTATACGTGGACTATATTCAACCCCTAACAATTTCTATAAACAATTAGAGTGGTAAGAACACCTAGGCCACTGATTTAAGAGACAAAAATATAAATTGTTTCTTTTATTCAGGAAACTGACTTCTAGGCAGCAAGTTTATTTACTTATTATTAAGTATAAATGTGTTCAAGTATTTATTTATTATTTATTTATTTATTTTGAGAAAGATTTTGCTATAGGGTTCATGTGCTCAGAGGAGAGACAAAGACAGACAGAGAGGGACCAGCCAGTGGCGTGGTGGTTAAGGCACTGGACACTTCCACATGGCCAACTACAGTTCGAGTTCTGGACCTGGTGGCTTGCTTTCTCACTTTCCCTTTCTCTCTTTCACTTTGTGTGTGTGTGTGTGTGTCTGGTCATGTTAAAAAAATTAATAAATAAAATTTTAAAAAATTGTAAAAACCTTGGGGCCAGCAGGTGGCGTGGTGATTAAGGTGCTGGACTCCCATATGGCCAATTGCAGTTTGAGTCCTGGACCTGGTGGCTTGCTTTCTCACTTTCCTTTTCTCTTTCCCCGCCTCTCTGGTCAAATTGAAAATGATAATAATAAGTAAAACAAAACAAAACAAAATGATAGACAGACAGAAAGTGAGACACCACTCTCCCAGGAGTGACGGCCATGCCTCAATCCCTTCTCCTCCAGTCTTCTCCTGGGATTTTGGGCACGTACGCACTTGTGCCCAGTGTGAGTTTCAAGCCACTGGATCTGGAACTCAAACTACAATCGACTATGTGAAAGTCTAGTGACGTAACCATTATGCCACCTGCTGGCCCTTAAGTATTTATTATCTGAGATTTTTGTTAAAGGAAAAAAAGCTTACTTTTGAATGGTACTAAGGAGTATATCTGGCAGTATGTTAATATTCCTTTACTGAAAAGGACAATGCTAATAGTTTTCCCCCCAAAATGACCTATGGTTGAACCTCTGAATATGTGAAAATTGTTGGGTTGTTAGGAAAGCCACGAGGCATTTTTGCATAGAAAAATAAGTCATGACTTTCCTGACAACCTAAAATAAAGCTGGACATAATATGATGCTCAGCTTAATTCCAAATGGGGGTTTATCCGAGACAGTTTAGAGGAAACCATGGTAATTTGTAGTTCACTTTTAGAGAGCCAGACGTACACTTTCTTTCTTCCTGTCCTTAGTTCTGTAGGTAGTAAATGAAATATTGTGTCTATTACCAATAAAGCTTTGGAGAATGTGTCCTTAGGTCTTTCTAATGGGTCACTCTCGTTCGATTACACCTGTATTTTCTAGTAGTGCTACATACCACAGGCCGCCTCCTGGTAAAACCTGTCACAGGAAGTAGCAGTTTATATGTTTCAGGGCCATCCCTGGTAAACAGTGCCCCTTTGAGACTCACTGAATCACAGTGCACCTGGAAAGAGAGTTCTGATAGGAAACAAAAGGTCCACAGAACATGCCACATTTCTCCTCCCATTGTTACTGGTCAGGAATGATTTAATAGGTGGAGGATTAAGAAGGATTTGTTACTCTGATAGAGGTCCTTCCGCGTAATAACAGAAGCGAGGCTGTGGGGTTCCCACCAGTTAATTACGGTCTACATTTGCATCACATTTCACCAGGGTAGGCAGATTTTTATTGTTCTTCATCTACATGCCACACCTTTATATATGTTTCTTTCATTTCAGAACATATGGCTTATGACATTGTGCATAGACAGATGGTAAACCAACTTGGTGCTGTTGTCCTAGGAGTGGAGTAAGAGAATAATTTTTAAAATTATTTTATTTAGCTTTCTTTCTTTTTCCCTTTCTATTTTATTTGACCAGAGAGGGACAGAATATAAGAGCAAGAGAGAGGAAAGCGAGAAAGCAAGTCACCAGATCCTGGACTTGAACCGTGGTCGGTCATGTGGGATTCCAGCGCCCCCAACCACCACACCACCTGCCAGCCCCAGATAATAACTTTTTAATGTTATTTATTGTTTTCTTCTTAGACAGGGTCTAACTAGGTTGAGGTCCTTCTGCTACAGCCTCCAAGTAGCTGGGACCACAGGTGTACACTACCAGGCCCAGCTCTTTCAGAGAGGGTCTCACTGTGGTGCTCATGTCGGCTGTAGGCTTATAATCCTGCCTTAGGCTCTGGAGCATTTGGGATGGCAGGTGTGTGCCATTGTGCCTGGCTTGGAGAGCAGCCTGGGGATTGATCCAAGGCTTCCTATCTGGCCTCCACCTGCTGAGCAGTAGTATGCTGGGTGCCCTACTGCAGTGGGGCCAATTACCATGAGTTACTAAAGTCCCGTGATCTTTGCCTCCACAGCATAGGTTTGATTTCCACAACAAGCCTCAAATCGATTTGGATCATAGGGGTTTTTGATTCATAGCAATAACTTTTGTTAGTATTATAATATCCATGCCTCTTCGAAGAGGTCTAAATTCCTTTTAGACTGACATTGTGAATTCCTGAGAGGCACTGTAGGGTGAGCATCTTTAGAAATATAGCCATGATAATCTCTAGGAAAATAAAACTGAGGTCCTAGAAGTATTTTAAAATAACAATTACATGTTTTAGGTGCGTTAGTTTTGTCCAGATTATGCTACATTTCAGATATGGATTACAATGTAATGAAATTGTTAGTGCCATCTGGCCAACATTTAGGTTTAGTATCGGAATAGGAATAGTTTGCTAATTCTAATTATGATATTAAGATTACTACTATAGATAGAAATAAAACTAATAAAGCAGAATATTAGGGGTGAACTTCTGTATGAGGATGCAGTATATATGATATATGTACATACACATTGAAATGAAAGATTCAGAGTAAGATCAATTTTGCTCATTGGATCTGTGGGTTAAATTGACATATATATATATATATGTATACACACACACATAAAATCTAAGTTTAATAATACTTTGTTCTTTTATTTTTTTTTTTTTTCCTTTCCCTAAAGCTATAGACTAGCTCCTGAATACCAATACCCCATTCCTTTAGAAGATAGCATTTCTGTGACCAGGTTCTTTCTACAAGATAAAATTCTCGCAAAATATGAAGTGGATCCAACTCGAATCTGTATTTCAGGCGACAGCTCTGGGGGTATGTTTACGGCAATAGTGACTCAAGTGGTATGTTTTATGTATTATTTATGTTTATATCACACATATATGCTATCATTCTATCACAACATAATTATTTCAGCTTCAGCATTTGTGTTGGTCTTATATTTGAAAACTGTGAATTGGCAAAAGTAAATGAGCAATTTTCTATCCTTTTAGCCTACTTGTATCTTACATAGATGTGGTCCAACATCTATCGTTAGTTGCATTGAGAGCACTGAGGAGACTCCACATATAATACAAAATAAAGCTCTTATTTACGCCACTAACTTTAAGAAAAATATAATGTCTAGAAATTACTCTCTAACAAGTGGTTTGTTGTTCTCCTTAGGTCATTTGTAAAATCTGCCACTCATGTGGGATTAGTGTGATCCATGCTGCTACTGCTTGCTTATCATGTAGTGTATCATGAGATAACCTCTGAGCCATGTGTCATGCTTGTCTAAAGGAGTTACTACTGTGACAAGACAAAATTGATCTAATCGTGAAACTCTTGCTGTGTGCAATAAAATAATAACTGCCTACAAGTTATATTTCAATGATCAATAATATATTTGAAAAGTGGACTCAGTTCAATAGACAATTTTCACCATTAAACGACTTTTTAATACAACAAAAATAAATAAGCAAAAGGGCACCCTTTTCAATGTATGTGAAGAGCTCCTGCGTATGGTCTGGTAACCTGGAAATAATTGTACATAAGGGGTTAAATGCTTATGCACAGGGATTCCCAGGTTACAAGTCTGTATGCAGGAGCTCTGTATATGATCATTTAATCTGTAAAAAAAAAAATGACTCTAGGTTGTGTGTCATCATGGCTCAAACATGGTGTCAGAATTGAAAGAATTCAAAATCTAGTAGAAAGAATACAGAAGGATGACTCTTAATATAACATGGGATATAGTTTTAAGGTATAACATGAATACCGTTTTTAATATAGGGGAAATGAAAATTGGATGGAAAGAAATTGAGATAACTTGCTGTATGAGTTCAGGAAAAGAAATGATTATATTGATCCGCTATCTACATGCACAAACACATACATGAATGTTTATGGCTACATTTTAACATGTACTGAGCTGGGTGGAGAGATCCATTCCAGACTGAAAACAGCGGTAGTGGCTGGTTTAAAACTGTCAAGTTCAGATGACTTGAGAGTAGGTTCTCCATCGGTTCATTGAAGTTTGATTTTGACCTAAGTCTTGAAAGAAGTCAGAGAGATAGGGAAGAATATTGAGTTCTGGAGGAACAGAGAACATGAGAGAAGACTAATGGAATTAGAATTCAAGTATTTGTGACAAAATAAAGTTATTCATTTGGCACTTCAGAAAAGATTAGGGGCATATATTGGAGGGCTGAGGAAAAAGAATACAAAGAGTTTAGCTCAACTACCATTTTTTAAGGGCCTGGGGCTACTGAGGCCAACATTGCTCATACTGGTCAATGCCCCCTCCATGCCAATTTCCAAGGGGTGACTCCTGAGCCTTAGACCCTGCTTTGCCAGCCACAATATCATGATCATGCCCAATCTTGACTATTATCACCCCTGCTGCTCCATGTCTCTGCAGACACTGAAGCTATATCCTTGCTGCCTCGAACAAAATCCCCCAAATATTTGAATCATTGGAGAGACACTGCTTATTCTGTTCCTGTTACCAGGTTTATAAAATAGTCTAGTTGAAGAGACAAGGATTAGCTATTCTTAAAGTACTTTTCTTCCAAGCTTCTGCTATCAGGGCTGGTGCTGAACAGTAGACTCTCACTGTACAAGAATTAAACCTTAAAAGTGGCTCTCTGTTACTATTACAGTCCTTCCTGCAAAGCATTCATGTAACCTTATTAGGAATGTCAGATCTTAAAAGTTCTTAGAAAGCAGAGGTTTCACAGACATCTCTGCCCTTCTAATTCCCTGGAGTTCACCACACTCTGGTTAGTCTCAGAGTGTACAGTCTATTCAACTTGCCTGATGATTGGTCTTCCATTGCTTTGGGTAAGATTACAAATGACTTGAGTTAGAGCAGGCAATGTGAGGGCTCCTATAATTATCAACCCAAGAGGAAGAACCCCTGAAGGGAGATCCTGATCAGCAGAGCATCTCTGAGGGATTCTACATAGAATGTCCCATGAAATTTTTAGGACACTAGGAAGAACAGTTTGAAGATTTGTTACTGAGCAGGGTGATTTGGGTGAATGTATAGAAGTAAATAAGATAGTCTCATCATCTCAACACAGTGGTTTTAGTAGAGTGGGTATTGGCGCAGGAAGGACACCAGCAGCTCAAGACTGCACAGCAGTAGTGACATTTATAAGCCGCTTTCATCTTGCCAGGCCATTTTCCTCTTGGTCCTGTCTCTGAACTAATGTCTTCATAGCCTGACGTTTCTTCTACCTTTTGTTGTAAAGCTTGAGGAGTTTCATAGTTCTTAAGAAAGCCATTGTTCTTGTTTTTTTTTTTTTTCTCAAAACAGCTATGAATTTCAGTCAGTTTGTGAGTTTCTACTATATTTCTTTTTTTAAAGAATTATTTTCACTTTATTATTATTATTATTATTATTTTCCAATTTGACCAGAGAGAGACAGAGAAAGGGAAAGTGAGAAAGGAAGTCACAAGGTCCAGGACTTGAACCAAGGTTGACCATGTGGGAGTCCAGTGCCTTTAACCACCACGCAACCTGCTGGCCCTCTATTATATTTCAATGTAGCTTGAAAAGGAAAAATATTGAATGCACGATCCCTGTAACTATTGGAACCCCAAGCATCTGCCAACTCATTTTTTAAGATAACCTCTTAGTAGCTTAAGAAGGTATCAGTTGAATCTCTGCCTCATTTTTTGTTTCTGTGGTTATAGTTTCTTCTATTCAGCTCATGGGATGATCCAATGTGCTTACTAAGTTATCTGTCTGAGGACGCTGGGTAGGGTTTAAGTGCCTGGGAAAGATTCTGTTAGGGAACTTTGCTCTCTTCCTTGTCATTCTCAACTGTGGGACCTTTCATATATTGAGTGCATATTTTGGAGTTGGTTGGATATCTTTTTTCTGGTCATATGCTGCTGATATTCCAGTTAATTCTTCTACTTGATATGTCAGTTACTCTGGCAAGCAGTTGACTTCAAGAAGCATCCTCCGGATTCTAATACTTTCATGAGGAGTGAGAGCAGATATCTCCATTTGCCTATACATTGATATTACAGGAGCTGGTTTGTAGCTTCGGTGATTGCTCCTGGGAGAATTCATTCCTGGTTCTTTTCTATAGTTTGTGGGACTAAAACAAGAAAGGAAAAGGAAATAAATATTGGCTCTTCTCATCTCATAGCTCAAATCTGAGGATGCTCCAAATATTAGGTCATCAAAAGAGTCATGACACAGTTTTGCATAGAAAAATAGAAAAGAACATCATGACTTTACTGATGACCCAATATAATGTTCCACCTGTCTTCCTGCTCTTCAAAGTTTTATAAATTACTGCCCTTACTTTCTAACATACTACACTATTTTTTTCTAAAGGTCAATTGTATATTAGGAATACTTTAACTTTGTATATTTTGTTTTGAGTTTGGTTAATATGTGAGCTTGGTCATTGATTATTTCTATTTATATATATATATATGAAATATATATATATTAGAATTATTTTATTTATCTTTATTTATTTAATTAATTTATTTTAATTTGACCAGGGAGGGGCAGAGTGAGAGAGAGAGATAGAAAGTGAGAAAGCAAGCCACCAGGTCCAGGACTTGAACCAAGGTTGGCCATATGGGAATCCAGCTCCCTTAACCACCTTGCCACCTCTGGCCCCACTTTATTATATTTATTCTTCCTTCTCATTTAACATTACTTTAGCTCAAAAATGATTTTTAAATAGATAATTCATTATCTTCTCTAGGAATCTTGGGAATACATCCTCAGGAATGTATTGTTAGGCAGTTTTACTGTTGTGTAAACATCGCTGAGTACTTACACAAACCTATATGGTGTAGGCTACTACACAACTAGGCTATATGGTTAACCCATTGTAATTCTATGGGAACACTGTTGTATACGTGGTCTGTCCTTGATGAACATTGCTATGTGGCATATAATGATATTTTGGTGATCATATGTGAGTAAATGCTTATTTGTGTGTGTGTGTGTGTGTGTGTGTGTGTGTGTGCATGTGTGTACTAATAAAGTGGAATGGAAATGAAGTATAATATGAAAATAATCACTGGGTTCTGTGTCAGTGTTCTATTTTTATGTCTCTTAAATGATTATAATCACGCCTTCTATTAGTGCAGTTTGAAAGCATTTGACTCATTCACATTTTATTATATCTTTTTTCAGTTGAAGGATGATCCAGAATTCAAAAATAAAATTAAGGCACAAGTTTTAATTTACCCTAGCTTACAATCAGTTGATCTTTCCATGCCATCTTACCAAGAGAATGAATATGGTTTGATTCTGACAAAAGAAATGGCAGTGAAATACGCATGCCTATATATAACTAATGATGAAGCTCTGCTCCAGGCAGCGAGAAAAAACCAGCATATGCCTCAGGGATCAAGACATCTGTTCAAGTTTGTTAACTGGAGTACCCTTCTTCCTGAGAAATATAGAAAGAACCATGTTTATAAAGAGCCAGTTCTCGGAAAACTTAACTCATTTCCAGGACTTTTGGATACTAGGTTGTCACCTTTGATAGCCAATGACTCCCAGCTACAAAATTTGCCATTGACTTATATCATCACCTGTGGACATGATGTCCTAAGAGATGATGGACTTATATATGTCACACGACTTCGGAGTGTTGGCGTTAAAGTTGTTCATGAGCATATGGAAAATGCCTTCCATGGAGCCCTATCATTCATCACACCACCATTTTATTTACATTTAGGCTTTAAAATGAAAGATATGTATATCAATTGGTTAGAAAAAAATCTATAAGTAGCACATGTAACTAGGGAATCATGCAGTTAGTATCACAATCCAAAAGGTATATTTTGACATCTTGTGAATTTAATGAACAGAATCATGATATGAATTTGGATAAACCCCAGTTCAAATCAGAGTGAAGTTTGCTGTGTACCTTTGAATAATTTATGAATTTCTTTCATATTAGATCTTGCTAAAATGAAAACATTCACTGTATTCTTCCCATTAAATATTATATATCGTGCTTGATAAGCTTTGAATATGCATCAGATTACTAACATAAAAAAAGTAAATGTGGTTATGGGCAAAATAAGACCAATAATTTCTGGTCAGTGAAAAGAATGGTAGTGGTGAGCGAGGAGAAAGTAGAAGGCTGGAAAGCTGCAATGGCATTTGTATGGGGACTAAGGTTGAAAGCACTACATTGCAGCACAAATATTCTTTTTCAGTTAGTTACAGTCTGTTCATTAATTGTATATTTTCAGTGTAAATTCTGGTTTTTTTTATTCATTTAATAAAAATGCACTCTACTCTCAAATGTTATCAATAAGCTGCTTTCTTTATAGAAGGGAAAGGTTAATATGTCCCCTTAGAGGAAGTCCACATCTTTCAAACGATTCTGAAGGGTTTGGCATGTGATTTGCTGAGAGCCCTTCGGCGAAGTAGACAACACTTCTTTGGGGTTTTTAACAAAGAAGAGTAATTTTAAAGAGTGTCTAAAAGTAAGAGAAGAGAGTCTCACCATTTCCTTCTAGGGCTTCAGAACACTGCACTGGCAGAGGAATAGATACCAGTGTCCCAGGACAACATAGCAGATGTGGCACCTACAAGCCATTTTCTCTACATTCTCTCCACTTCCCCTCTCCTTTTATGCCAACATCTTAATATCTCAACATTCCTTCTAGCTTCTTTTGATTTAAAGCATGAGGAATTTGTGATTCCTAGGAAAACCAGTGTGCTATGGATTTAATTTCATTTCTAAATTTTTTCTGTATTTAGTATAACTTGGCAAAAGAAGAGATTTAGTGATGGGTTCTTTATAAATCTAGAACAAGCAACATCTGCTCGCTCATCTTTTGAATTAACCTTATCTAGTTCTACTGTTACCCTAAAGAGTGGGTTGAAATCTTTTGTCTCCTCTCTGTTCATGGGGATTTACATGGTCATTGTCATTTTTTTTTTCTCTTTAGTCTTATGCAAAGAGTTTGGCATGTTAATGAGTAATATACTTTTCTAGCCAGTCTCCTGTCTTAGGCCACTGGAAGAGAATCCAGAGACTGGGAAAGAGAATACAGGCTAACAACATTCACCACTAGTCCAGCCCAAGAGAGCTGTTCACATTTTATACAAACTTGACATGTCTAAAATACATGAAGAATTTAAACAACTCAAGAGAAGAAAAAAAAACTTAATTAAAAAAATGAGTAAAAGATCTAACTAGACATTTTCCAAAAGAATGTATACAAATGACCAAAAGGCATATGAAAAAATGCTCAACACCGCTCATCATCAGGGAAATGCAGATTAAAATCACAAGTTATCATGTCACACACGTTGTAATGGTTATTATCAAAATGGCCAAAGGTAAAATGTGATGGTGAGATTGTGAGAAAAAAAGAACTATTTTGGTAGACATATAAGTTGGTACAGCTATTATAGAAAATGATTTGGAGTTTTCTTAATAAATTAAAATTAGGGCTATAATACCACCCATCAATTTCATTTCTGGGTATACACCCACAAGAAATAAAATTAGTATATCAGAGATATTGGCACTCCCATGCTTATAGCAGCATTATTCACTATTGCCAAGATATGAGCTCTAGTGTCCATCAGTGAATGAATGGGATGAAAGTAAGTGTCCATCAATGAATGAGTGGATAAAGAAAATGTAGTATGTATATATTATTGAATATTATTACACCATAAAAAGGAGGAAATTGTGTCATGTGTGACAACAAGGATGATATTATATTAAGTGAAATAAGTCAGAGACAGAAAGCAAAATACATATTGCATGATCTCACTCAAATCTGAATCTGAAAATGCTGATCTCATAGAAGTAGAAAGTAGAATGATGGTTACCAGTGTCTGGCATGTAACAGCGTGGGGTTCAAGAAATCTATCCTATAACATGATTATTATAGTAAATAGTGTGTTGCATACTTAGAATTTGCTGTAAGTAATTTAATTTGAAAAATTCTCACTGCAGAAATAAAGTGATAGATATTTTAATTAGCTTGATTCAATCAGCTTATAATGCGTATATATATATCAAAATGTTATCCTCTACACAGTAAATATAAAAATGTTTATTTGTCAACAATATCACAGTAAGATGGGCAGAGAAAGGGGTGTAGAATGATACAGCTTGCCAAAAATAACAAAATAACAAGCAAAAATAATTAATGTACATCCAAGGTTGTCATAATATGATAGATTGCCTCACATTTTTTTGTTGTTGTAAGTTGTGTACACTAACCAAAGAGAGACAAGGAAAATGAAAAAGCACTCCCTGTGGGACCTGGTATCATCACAATCCCTTCTTCTCATCTCCCCGTTCAAGATTTTGGGCATGTACTGTTTTTCAAATCACCAGGTCCAGGGCTTTACCTATGCAGTCAGCCATGTGGGATCTAGCCTCCTTAACCACCACTGGCTAGCCCTGTATTATGTTCTGATGAGTCTCATTCGTTCTACAAGCAGAGAAGCAGAGATATTTGCCTTGGAGTCATTTCCCACAATGTGTTTAGGTGGCAAAGCCACTGGTCATGTCCTGTTCCTAGAAACTACGTTTCAGAACCTAGGAATTATGGGAGGGATCCTGTCTTCAAAAAGTTCATGGACAATGTATATTTTATATATAAAACAAAAATTATGCATGCATTTTAAAATATTTGTACCAAAAATAAACTCACACCTAGATTCTGTTTTTCCATGAAATTGTAAAAGTCCTCTCATATATTCATTGACGCATTATATCATCACGGGTAATAACACAACAGCTAGTGAGGTAGGAGAAAACTAGCAAATGGAAGCAAATAAGGGGGCTAGAGTATCTGCTTCTGTGGCTAGATAAAAAAACTGATCATGGCAGAAAATTCCCCAGCCAAAGTGATGTAGACAGGAGATTTCCAGCGGAGCATGTCTGGCTAATCCAGCCATATTTGACAGAGCCATTGAGATAAATAAATAAGTGGGCCCAGCCACATTTGATAGAGTCAGTGAGATGAGAACAAGCAGTGGATCCAGCCAATGATCAACCCACATGCTAGATTAAAAATTATAAACCTCACAGAATGTAACTGCTGGGTCCCTTGAGTCTCTCTCCCTCTGACCTCTCTTTCTCCCTGCTCTGGTCAACTCCTACCTCTTGGGAGTGTACTTTCACTTATCAAGGTTATTATTAACTTTCATCAGTTAAACATTAGGATTGATCTATTGTGAAGGTAAAAGGTTAGGTTCTGTGAAACTCATTGTGAAAGAGATGAATGATAGAAGTTAGTGACTGACTTTCCTAAGATTTAATATATTAAAACAGACTTCAAGATTAACTATCATGTAGAGTTGAGTCATTTTGATTCTCTTATGACTTGATTCCAGTCGAACTACTTTTTTTTTTTCCCTCCACCATGTTAGCAAACCTGCTTTTGGTGGACCAAATATTAGAACAAAAAATAGAGATTGTAGAGGCTTGTCCAAGTTCTATCATTCATTAAGCTAGATCTTTCCAAGAGGCTGGGATGCCAGGAGGTTTAGTATAAATATCTCAGAAAACATTCTGTTTTTTAGAAGATTAAGTAGTGATTAAAGGGGTCAGTGCTTTCATTTAGGCTCTGACTTAAGTCTCAGTAATAAAGCCATTTTATGCTGATGATGGTTCTGCACACTGCAAGAGATTTTAATTATATGTTAATGATACATACATGGCCTGATAATTACAACATCTGTATCTGAGTCCATGTACTTGCAAAGCAAGTTATTACTGATGTTGAAATGTTTGAATTGAAAATTAGCTTCACTTAGTTGAGGTAATCATATCACCTAAGTTGGTTCTCAGTCTATACTTGCTCTGCTCACTATTCAGCACTTAAGAAAAATTTTAATCTTAGCACAGTGAAGAATCCGAAAAGAAGACGATGATGGCTTTCAAAGCTCTCTGTGTGGGGTTGTTCTGTGTCTTGCTTGTCACTTGTATTTACACGCCTGTACCAGACAACATTGAAGAAAGCTGGAAAGTAACAGCCTTGGATCTAGCTGTTAAAACTTGCTCATTCGTGGTAAGATCAACATGTTTTTTTTCTCTTGGAAATTGGGATGTCATATAGACTAAACATGAGCACTATGTACTTTTTAATTGATATATTGATGTTATCATTTTCAAAGAACCATTTTTAGGTTAAATCAACTAAATAGCATTAATAAGTAAAACTTGCTGCACCTGTGCAAAATAGGATGAGACAGAAATCTTGCTTCCAAGGAGTTTCTGTCTCAATGTAAAGTTTTCAGATACTGTGATATGCATGAAAGAGACAGTATTGCTGGAGGGCATAGCTTTGAGTTTTATTTGGTAACTTGCCTTTCATTTGAATTTTGGGGACAATCTAGTCCCATAATTATATTTTACAAATATATCATGGACACTTGGCACCTATTTGATGTTAGTTGAGGCTTCTTACTTCTACAGTGGCTTCCATTGTCCATCTTCAATTCTAAATGCAGGGATTATCTGCATATTGGAATATACAGAGTGGACGATGAATTCAAGCAGTAATAGGTCCTTCCTGAAGAGAAGAGATGGTTAGAAAGGGAGCATTTAGAACTCTTAAAATGTATAGACTTTCTTTATTTCTTCTCCACTGTCACACAACCATTTTTAGTGGTTTATGGAGGAAAAAGAGAATTAGAAGAACGCATGCAGATAGGATGTAACACCACCAAGATTTGGACCCTTTTAAGTCCATACTTTTGCTACTAAATAAAATGGCTCCCAGACAGGGTTTGTGATGATAGTGAAAATAGGAAGCTGAAAGGAGAAGACAACAATAGTAGATCAGAAAAGATCAGAGAAGCGCACAATCCATGGTATAAGAGAGAGTGGCTGTTCTGTGATGCTAGAACAGGCAGCGGATCTATGAAGCTAAAAGCAACACTTGCTGGTGTGTTAAACCATGATTTTTTCTTCTATTTTTTTCTAGGGGTTCATATTCTCCACAACTCTTTTTTTGTTGTTCATGTTCAATATAAAATGGAACTATGTGGGTAAACAAGTGTTTGTTCCACAGAGAAACTACTATATGATCTCCCCTAATTATTTTACAGGTATTCAATGCTCAGCGATTGATACTAATTGATATCATCAAAATTATATTCATCTCTAAGCCTCTGTTACCTTCTTAGCTTCAGATTATTCTCACCAACGTCAATCTTTAACAGGATTACACACTTTTTGTAACTTTGGGTATTTGATACTGTATTTGGATTGTCCGTTTAAAAAAATGATAATATGAAAAGCATTCATGTAATCATCAGGGTTGAATTTTTTACCTCAAAGTTGTGATACCAGTAAGAGTAAGTTTATATATTTTTTAAGTTTTTAAAAATTGTCACAGAACATGTGTGCTCTCCAGAGAGAGACAGAGATGTAAGAAGTGCTCCTCAATGAGGTGTGATCATACCATGTTCCCTTCTTCATTTTTCCATCACCTTGGGATTGGGGCATGCACACATATGTACCTATTGTGTTCAAGCTGTAGAGGCTGGGATTCCTACCCTGTTAGCCATGTGGTATCCTGCTTCCTTAACTACTAGGCGAAAGGATCAGCCCCCATAAGGATTCTTTTTAGTGCAGAATACTTATGTAACAATAAGACAAGATTGATTGAATACTTAACATATGCCAAGGATTCCTCTACACACATTGAAAACACTCATTTAAATCTTACTATAGCCCACCAAGGGATTAATTATTAACATTACCTTTTTATAGATAAGGAAATTGAAGTACAGAGAGTAATTTGCTCAATGTCATACATCTAGTAAGTGATAAAATAAGAGGCTAAGCTGCAAAGAAGAATGTGAACTTGGCTTTGACATTTACTGGCTGCAACTTAGAGGTTTTGCTCCCTCGTTATTAAAGTACAGGGATAGATGCTCTCTAATGCCCTATAAATACCTTAAATTCTTTGCAATAATTATAGTAATAAAGACAATTTAATGTATTATCGACTATGTAATTTTTGATGTTTTCTTTTGAGTAAACCATCCAGTGACATGGCACGAAAGTCCTAGAGAAGCTGGACAGAAATACTGGGACCTTTTTTCAATTACATCAAATATAGATTTTAAACAAAAGGGTGCAAAGGGCACTAATATATTTCAAGTTGCAAACCAGGAAATTTGGATCATTAATAGTGTGATAATATGGTGATTCTTAAAATTATGTTTTAAATAAAATGAACATTGAAAAAAGAAAAATACAGCAGCATGTCTACAAAAAAAAAAAAAAGAAAGAAAGAAAGAAAGAAAGAAAGAAAAGGGTGTTAAGGTTTGGATAATTGTTAGTCCCCCCAAATTTCATGTTTTGGAATTTGGTTTTAGGGGGAAGTGATTGGATGGCCTCAGAAATACATGTGTTGGAAATTGATTTTATTGATTGTATTGTAAGGATGGTAAGTGAAAACTTAACTTCTTTTTTTTTTTTGGAGAGCTTTTTGCTATAGGGAGTGTGCATTCACCAGAAAGACAGAGAGAGACAGAGATACAGAAAGTGAAAAATCACCCCCCGGGGGGTGGGGGGAGTTGGCCACGCTGCAATCCCTTCTCTTCCATTCTACTATCGGGATCTTGGGCATGCACCCATACACACCTGGTGTGAGTTTAAGCAAATAGGTCTGGGACTCGAACCGCAGTCGACTGCATGGGAGTCCAGCGATGCATCCATTATGCCATCTGCTGGTCCCAAAATCTTAACTTCTTCATGGTATCCTAGGTTGGAGTCTTTGGTTGTGATAATGTCATTAAGAAGGGGCATCTATGGTTGAATTCGGGTAGGGTTTATAAACAGGGGATGAGACCAAAATGGTAGAGAGAAAACCTCATAAAAACAGACCAAGCTCTGCTCTCCTGAAAGTTATGCTGCCTGCCATTTTGTGATGCCTTTGGACTTTCCAGTCACCAGAACTGGGAGTCAAAATAAACTTCTTTTTTCTTAAATTTACCCAGTCTCAGGAATTTCTGTTAGCAATGCAATGATAGACTAAGACCAGGCATTACAAGATCTAGAAATTTTTCAGATAAGAATTTACAATTAAGAAATAATTGCAACAAGCTTTAAAAACTGCCAGTGAAGAAGGTTTCTGGAGTTGGCGTTGTAGCATTACAGTTAAGCACTGTGCAGACAAAGCTGGAACCCACATGGCTGACCAGAGTTTGAGTTCTGACCCTGGTGGCTGGAAAAAAAAAAAATGCTGAGTACATGCAAGCCCAGGATCCTGACAGAATGGAAAATTTGAGGAGAAAAAAATCATGGAATGACAAGGTCTTATTGGGAGGTGATTTCTCTCTCTCATGCATGCATATGCCCTGTAGCATAAAAAAAAATAGTTTTTGAATAAGCTAGCTCTCTTTTTTTTTCATCTTATTCTTCTTTAAAATTTGTCAGAGGGGCATAAAAGAGACACAAAAAGAGAGAAAAAGTGAGAAAACACTCCCCGTTAGAAATGGTCAGACTATAATCCCTCTCTTCTATTTCTCTATTCTTTTGGGATCTAGGGCTCATGTGCACAAATGCCATGCGTGCATGTGTGTTTCTTAAACTGTTAGGTCCAGGACTCAAAATGCATGGTTGGTCCATGTGAGATCCAGCTGCCTTAAGCACCAAGTCATGTACTGCCCTGATGAGATAGCTCAATCTAAAATATTAAGTACCTGTATTTTCTTTTTTTTTGAGAGATTTTTGCTATAGGGTGTGTGCATTCGCTGGAGAGACAGAGAGAGAGAGAGAGAGAGAGAGCAAGAAATCATCCCCTAAGGGGGATGGCCACACCACAATCCCTTCTCCTCCATTCTCCTTTTAGGATCTTGGGTACATATGCACACATGCCTGACATGAGCTTTTGAGTTTTAAACTGCTGGGTTTGGAACTTGAACCACAGTTGACTCGACTATGTGAGAGTCCAGTGACATAACCATTACATCTTCTGTTGGTTCCAAGTACCTAATATTTTCAAAGGCAACTAGGTCATAAGATGTTTTTATAGTATTATTTGGAACTAATGTTTATATGCATCTGATTTTTTAATTTATTTTTCTTATGTTTTCTTCCTTTCTTTTCTATGTCCTCCTTATATGCATTTGATATTATTTAACAATCCAAATGTTTAATTAATTTATTTTTGCTCTTATAGGCTATGTGCTTTGAAAATATAGGTATCATGAAATACGAAGAGTTTATTTCCATAATCTTCAGGCTGGATTATACTCTACCACGTTCAGATGAATATATTACAGTGACTGATACAGCATTTGTTGATGTTCCAGTACGTTTATACTTGCCAAAGAGGAAGTCAGAGACCCCAAGAAGAGCTGTGATCTATATTCATGGTGGTGCTTTTTGTTTTGGAAGTTTCAGTAAGTTCATCATATAAGGAAAATGTCTAAGTGGCTGCATGTTCTTCCTCTAAGACCGATTTTATATAAATATGCATTCTTATGTACACATGTATATATGCACATTTGTACACATACACATAAGTGAAGCTCTAACTATTAGATATCCAACAAGAAATAGACATATGTTTGGCAAATAACACAAAACTTTTGAATTCAGTTTTTGTTTTGTTTTGTTTGGATAAGCATTTCATTCTCCTCCTCTTCCATATTGAATGGACGTATGTCATATAGAGCGTGAACAAGTCATTACTAAAACATTTAATTTTTTAGAATCAGAATCTATGCAGGAGCAGAGACATAAAGCAATAAAGATATTTTATCTGGCATATCAGAAACATATGGTATTGGTTGCTATAAATTCAAGTTTATAGTTATAGACAATAATTTGAGTAGGTGAAAAGCTTAGAATGTTAACTTTGAAAGGAAAACACTAGACCAGCCATGGTGGTGGAATAGTAGTAATGCAGGAAGCCATATAGAAATTGGAGATTAGTTCCTGAGTCAACTCATTCACACTATGCAAACACACATCCTTGTGATCCTGACTGGGAAAAAGTGGGAAAGAACTGTGGCATGAGACCCTGTTGAAGGGGTGTGTGCATGTGTGTGCCTTGAAAGAAAGAAAGGAAAGAGAGGAAATAAAGAAAGAGAAAGGAAGAGAGAAGAAAGAAATGAAAGAAAGAAAGAAAAAAAGGAAAAGAAAGAGATAGAAGAAAGAAAGAGAGAAAGAGAAGAAAGAAATTTTAAATAAGAAAACACAAAATAGAATTATGTAATAAAATCTTCCCATGAAGTCTAGGTTTCATACTTGTCTCTGATGATGATTCTAAGAAGCATATATAGCGTATTTAAAACAAAATCAGTGGGCCAGCATGTAGTATGGTGGTTAAGGTGTTGGACTCCTACATGGTCAACTGCAGTTTGAGTCCTGGACCTGATGGTTTGAAACTCACGTTGGGTGCATGAGCATACAGGCCCAAAATCCTAAGAGAAGAATGGAGGAGAAAGGATCACTGCATGGATATACCCCCTGGCGGGGTGATTTCTCACTTTCTATCTCTCTCTGGTGAGCACATGTGCCCTATAGCGAAAAATCTCTACCAAAAAAATTATGAATACACCTACTTTCATTAAGACTTTGGAAAACTTCATCAGAGAATGACATTGGTATATAGGGAGTCAATGTACCTTGGGTATTCTCCCCTCACAGAATTTTTTTCTCTGTAAGCTAATGGTGAGGCCTGAGAATTCCATTTCAAATTAGTTCCCAGTTGTTGCCGGTGCTACTGCTCAGGTGTGTCACGCTACTGTAGATTGTTTTGGTAATCAATGCCTCCACTGAAGCTCAGAAATATAATGCATACCTAGTAAGCTCTGCCTCTCATTATTGTCAATGATTATTTTTAAACTGCATTACTTCAGGGCTTGTACTTCTTCCAGTTAGAGATCAAGCCTATTGCTAGTTCAGAGAAATGAAGGGAAATGAGACATTGTATGCCCTTGATTTTTTTTTTTTTTGAGAGGTTTTTTGCTATAGGGCTTGTGTGCTCACCAGAAAGACAGAAAGACAGAAAGCAAGAAATCACCCTCCAAGGAGATGGCCATGACTCAATCCTTTCACCTCCATTCTCCTCTCAGGATCTTGGGCACGCATGCACATGCGTCCTGTGTGAGTTTAAGCCACCAGGTCCAGGAATCTAACCGCAGTCGACTACATGGGAGTCTAATGACATAACCATTTTGCCAACTGCTGGTCTCAGGTATCACCCTACTCTTAAGCTATTATTTGACTGTATCAGTACATCTTTATCAATCTTCTGTCTTAAAGTTTGTTTGTTTTAACTTTGAAATTATTTCTCCTAAACATCTTATGATCACAGTCATCAGGAAATAAAATACATTTCTCCTTGCATTCCTCTTTTGTTTTGTCCTTTATCATTATCCTTTTATTCTTAGACTTCTTTCTGTGCTCCAAAGACCCTGGTTCTTCCTTACATCCTTTTTTTCCCCATCTTGAATGAATTTCTCAAACTCTATAATGTGCTGCATTTGATAAAACCACTCTTTTCTCCACTCTCATCTGTCTTTATTTTCTTTCATAAAATATCTCCTAGACTTTCTTCTGCCATTCACTGCTTTCTGTCTCTCTTCCATTGCTTATTTTTCTTTTCTTTTTTTGGAGAGGTTTTCGCTATAGGGCGCGTGCGCTTGCCAGACAGACAGAGAGAGACATAGAGACAGAAAGCGAGAAATCGCCCCCCAGGGGAGATGGTCACACTACAATCCCTTCTCTTCCATTCTCCTCTCGGGATCTTGGGCACGCATGCACACGCGCCCGGCCTGAGTTTTAAGCCACTGGGTCCGGGACGTGAACCGCAGTCGACTATGTGGGAGTCCAGCGACATAGCCATTACGCTAACTGCTGGTTCCCCATTGCTTATTTTTCTGACTCTAAAGACTTGAGCAGTGTTGCTATGTGTCCATTGCAACTTCTAAGGAAGTACACAAGTTGATGCTGACAATCTTGGCTTCCTAATTGCATGGCATGTTTGTTTGAATGTCTCCCTAGCAAGTCTCATTGCCTCTTAGCACACAGCAAAGCACTTTCCAATGAATGTTCAACAAATGTGGGGGTGGGAGAATACAGATTCATACATACACACACACAAAATTATTAAAAGAGACTTCTACTACTGTTTTTTTTTTTTTGAGAGGTTTTTTCGCTATAGGGCACGTGCGCTCGCCAGACAGAGAGAGAGAGAGGCATAGAGACAGAATCTACTACTGTTCAAATCTAGAGAGATTATTACCCAAAATGTTCTCCAAGTACTTTCATGTATTTTTCACTTCCTTAATGCTTTTACTAAACTAGATTTTATCTGTATCTTTATGTATTTGGATGGTCATCATGATACCTTCCTTCTCTTTTTTAAAGGGTTTTTGTCATAGGGTATGTGTGCTCACTAGAGAGAGACAGGGAGAAAAGAGAGGAAAAATGAGAAATCACGCCCCAGGAGGGAGGCCATAGCCCAATCTCCTTTTGCCATTCTCTTCTCTGGATTTTGGGCATGCACACATACACTTGGCATATTTTCAAGCCACCAGGTCCAGGATTCGAAACATGGTCAGTCATGTGGGAGACCAGTGCTTTAGCCACCATGCTACCTGCTAGCCTTTACATCTTTCTTTATAAGATAGTTTAAATATTAAGTTAGCTTAATTTCTCTCCAAAGGATGCATTAATGCTATTAGTTTTTATAAGGTCTAGGAAATATCTGAGGGTCCATAGTTTACCTAGGACTTCAGTAAGTACAAAATAGATACCTTAAATGAGAATATATCGCTTTGACTCAAAAATGCTAAGAAGTATTCCTGGTTATTAGATTAATTCTTCTTTCACTGATGTGGGCAATGATAGTGATCAATTAATTCCTAAAAATGTGAGAATTATTATTTTGGATATAACATTCCAACATCCTTCTCAGATGAATTTCAGATACATCTTTTTTCTATATCTTGGTTTTTCAATTTGTGTGTTATTTGTATTTAATTATTCTAGAACATATATAAATAAACTGGAAAAGACCTACTTTCTATTTTTGAACAGTAAAGAAATAGAAATGATACCTATTTTCTATTATAGAATACACAAATATCCTTTTCCTTTGGAAAAGCCTTCCTCTTTGTTTTGTTTCTGTTTTGTTTTTAAAGAGATTTTTGCTATAGAGTGTGTGTACTCAATGGAGAGCCAGAGAGAGACAAAGTGATAAATCAACCCCCCAGGGGGATGGCCATTACACAACCTATTCTCTTCTATTCTCCTTTCAGGATTTTGGGCATACACGCACACACCCTGGTGTGAGTTTCAAGTCACTGAATCCAGGACTCAAACCTCAGTCAGCCATGTGGGAGACCAGTGATGTAACCATTACACCATCTGCTGGTCCCTATTTGTTTTTCTTGTTTGTTTTTGTCTGTATAACAGGACAAAGTTCCTTTGAGAACTAAGAAGCATAAGAAAACGTCTCTCTAGTAAAGTTTTTACATACTTTGGTAGTTCATAATTTCCAACATTTATCTTAATATCTTCTGTTTCTATCTAGGTTCCATAAGTGCCATAAATTCAATAAATGAGCAAGGAATAGAGAAAAACATGATGAGACTGATTTTATCAGCACATACTATGGGGGTCAAGACAGTTGATGATAAGAATATGAAACAAAACACTTAATTTGTCTTTGGTTATAAGTAAAATAAGAGTATTATGAAATAAAAAATAAAGACACGTTTGAAATGTATCATTAAGGGGCTTTGAATGTGGAGGTCAAAGAGTTCCTCCTATATTCTGTGCATTTTGGTCTTTATGTGTTGCCTTTTTCTGTCAATTATCAATTTGATCCTTAATGAAAACTTTTATTTTTAACCTAAAAGATTAGGTAATTTTCTTTGGTTTTTCCAGGTTGTTCTACATCTAGTATTTATTTATTTATTTATTTATTTATTTATTTAATTTGTTATTTCTTAATTGCTAGAGAGTATGTGCATTTTCCAGAGAGAGAGGGAGAGAGAGACAGAGAGGAGAGAAGAATGCACCCCCCCACACACACACACACACAAAAATGATGAGTGGACATATCATAATCCTTTCTCCTCCATTTTTCCATCTTGTCAGGATTTTAGAGATGCATGTACATTTGTCTGACATGTTTTTCAGGCTGCAAGGGCCAGCACTAGAATTGCGGTTGGCTACATGACACCCAGCTCCCCATGTACAGGGCTAACTGCTGTGTCCTGTACACCTGTACAGCCCAACACCCAGCATTTAAATAGTTTTTAATTTGGAATTTTGTTGATGTGCAAGAAAAGCCTGCCAAAAGCCTGAAATTCGGTGAAAACTGTAGAATTCTTTGAATTTCTAGACTCTTGTAAATAAAGCAGTAGCAGATACCACAGAATTTGCCAAGGCACTGTAGCCAGGGCACTGGTAAATCCAATTGGTGGAGAGTTGAAGAAATATATAAGGTTTGTGTGTGTGTATGTTTGTGTTTATGTATGTATTGGGAGAGAGTCAATTGCTGTGTGCCGAGTGTGCCAAAACCCATATGCATATTAAGTCTGCACACTAATTTCAAAAGCTCTCTCGAAATCTAGTTGCTGACTCTTAAACTCTGTCTCAATGCCAAAATTATTGGATGATTTCGTAATGTGGCATGATGAAATAAAATGGAGGTTCTGAGGAACCATAAACATGTTAGGTTTATTTATTTTGTTCCATGAATGTGAGAGAGAGAGAGTTATTCCCAACGTGTCTTCATGCCACAAACTACCTCCAGCCAACCTGGATCATGGGCAGGCGCTTACCCAGTATGCTCAGTGAGGTCCTCGGAGACAACCCAGGCCCTTTTCCATGAGAGTCCATTTGGATTAAAGCTGTACCACTGCCTGGCCTGAAGAATCATATTATTGACCTGCCTTAGAGAGTTCATACATCTTACTATTTTATTTCTCCTCTGAGTTCTGAATCAACTGAGTGATTAGACATAGAATTCAAGTAAATCAAAATCAAAACATGACCATTATTTTAAATGAGGCCTTGTTTAGTTATTGTTGTTGTCACTCTTGAGAGATTTACCCAACCACTGTGGCTGGTCCCACTGACCAATCATAGTCCAACTTGCTGCCTAGAGTAGCAGACCAGATTAGAACTCACCAGGAAACAAAGGGCCCTTGTACAGACAGCAGAAGGCCAGAGTACATTGGCCTGGGCTGAGAGTAATGTCTTCTGCCTAAAATACTAGTTGGTCAAGTCATGGTTGCATTCCTCGAGAGTGACTGAAGGAATTAGGACAGGCAGGGTGTGTCGCGTTAATTCTTATCTCTGCATGGAAACATGGGTTGGAAATACAGGTTCTTGTGTACCATTCACAAACCACATTCTTTCCACATTTGTGGTTGTAACTGCTTCTGTCACTTTTTATTACAGAGAGTATTTTGACATTTATTTCTCCATTTCAGAGCAGACGTCTTCTGACCTTCTGAACAGATGGACTGCAAACAGACTTGATGCTGTCGTCATAGGATTGGAGTAAGAGAAAGATTTTCTTTGACTACTCTGATTTTTGCCTTTACCACATAGAGCTTTGATATCCAGACTGAGTCACCTAGGCTTCAAATGTAATTTTTTTACCTAATGTATTTTCCTCATCACCATTGCAACATAGAGTTTCTCAAAGGGATCCAGCATTTCAGCATTTCATTATGCTGGATAATTACCATTATGATGCTAATTTCTGAGTTTGCACAAAAGGATAAGCATTGTAAACATTGCTCCTTTAGACACATAAAGCTGGGTCTTTTAAGGCCCTTGTTGGGTCTCAAGTAACATAGCTGGACAGGAGAAAGTAAATTATTATTATTATTATTTTTAAGAATTAATTTTATTCATTGTCATCTTTTTATTTCTTATTCTTTTTATTTTTATCAAAGTCGACCAGAGAGAGACAGAGATAGAGAAGGAAAGTGAGAAAGCAAGCTGCCAGGTCTGGCACTTGAACCATTCTCAGACATGTGGGAGTCTAGCCACCTTAACCTCCATGCCACCTGCCAGTCCCCTGAAAGTAAATTATTATACATTTGGGATGTCAGGTTGTTTGGAGGCTGGTAAGAAAATGATTAGTTTGAAAATAATTCTTGTTTAGAATGATGTATATAGTAAAGGTTGGGATCAGTTGAGAATTTTGAGCAACTCTCAGGAAATATGATCCTCTGTTCTGGATTTTCCAAAACATATTAGACTATCTCAAGATGGTTTAGTATTTTCTTACTAATACTGAAGTATTCTGAATTTCTAAAATCTAGGATGAATTTTGAAATCCATCATCCTCAGGAGAAATTATTTTCTTCCACCTTTTCCATAGTTTGTAATAACAACAAAATATAGTTAGAGAGTTCTAATTTAATTATATTTACAGGACTTAGTAACAGTTTTTTCTTTTTTTTTTTAAGCTAGGAAGCCACAAAGGTTTACAGAGAAAAATTGAATGTTTGATTATCTAAAGAGGGAGTTTGCTATCACAGTTATTAAGCTTAGTTGCAGTACCTACGAGAATTTCATGTTTTCAGGGATAGTTATAATTTAAAATATTAAGGCACTCTCACTTTTACTCTTATAGTTTTAAAATATTAAATCTGTTTTTTAATATAGTGATACATTTGTGCTTGGCTTACACATTCTATCTGATCATTAAGATTTGTGTTTGTCTTTGCCTTAAAGAGTCTAAATCTATTGCTTTTGAAATAATAGATACCAACATCTTTTTTATATATACCTATGTCTAAATTATACTTTTTAAAAATAATAATTTTTTAATTAAATTAATTAATTATTTTTATTATTATTTTTAAAATTCGCTATAGGGCACGTGTGCTTACAAAAGAGAGACAGACAGAAAGAGAGAGAGAGAAAGAGAGAGAGAGAGAGAGAGATAGGGAAAGTGAGAAAGCAAAACACCAGGTCTGGGTTTCTAACTGTGGTGGACCATGTGGGAGTCCAGTGCCTTAACCACCTGCTAGCCCCTAAATTATGCTTTATTAAAGATTTTCTAAACAGAGTTTATGATAAAGGGCCATATTACCAACATTTAATAATAAATAGAGATATTTATACATTTTAACATTCTGAAGAATAAAAAAAAAGTTAGCCCTAAGGATAGACTAGTTCTGTTTTGTCTTATTTGTACCGGTCCCTATGCAGAGGGAGTAACCCCTCTGTACCCATTAAATCAACACTGGAGTAATTTGCCTTACACAGTGTCACTGCAGTCATGTGGTCTGGATGCTGATGCTTGGCAGGCCACAGACACAGGCAAGGTCTGACTTCAGTTTCCAATCCATCCTAAAAGAATCCAGTGGAGCAGCGTGAGTCTGCAGTAGCAACTACTCAGGATGCTGGGGCAGGAAGATTGCACCATCGCATGATATCTAAAAACTCACCATGCACCTGTGAAGCACATGTATACATACACATACACAAACACAATCTGTCTTACAAATTAATTTAATGTAAACAAGTAATCTCCTTAGTATATTTAAGTGTTATATATACTCCAAAAATTTTCTCTAAAACCAACTGCTGGGCGTTATCCATAATGAAGTGTATTCTTTGTCAACTTGTAGAATTTTGACCTAAAGGACTTTGAAAAAGTAGGACAGGTGTTTATTATATTATGTGCTCTCACACCTGCTGAGTTCAAAAATTCATCATGCTTTTCTAGCAATATACATACATATATATTTTTTTTGAGAGGTTTTTGCTATAGGGCACGTGCACTCGCCAGACAGACAGAGACAGAGAGATAGAAAGCGATAAATCACCCCCCAGGGGGGATGGCCACGCCGCAATCCCTTCTCCTCCATTCTCTCGGGATCTTGGGCATGCATGCACACGCGCCTGGTGTGTTTTAAGTCACCAGGTCCGGGACGCAAACCACAGTTGACTACATGGGAGTCCAGCAACATAGCCATTATGCTAACTGCTGGTCCCTAGCAATACATAAACATGGGTTGGAAATACAGGTTCTTGTGTACCATTCACAAACCACATTCTTTCCACATTTGTGGTTGTAACTGCTTCTGTCACTTTTTATTACAGAGAGTATTTTGACATTTATTTCTCCATTTCAGAGCAGACGTCTTCTGACCTTCTGAACAGATGGACTGCAAACAGACTTGATGCTGTCGTCATAGGATTGGAGTAAGAGAAAGATTTTCTTTGACTACTCTGATTTTTGCCTTTACCACATAGAGCTTTGATATCCAGACTGAGTCACCTAGGCTTCAAATGTAATTTTTTTACCTAATGTATTTTCCTCATCACCATTGCAACATAGAGTTTCTCAAAGGGATCCAGCATTTCAGCATTTCATTATGCTGGATAATTACCATTATGATGCTAATTTCTGAGTTTGCACAAAAGGATAAGCATTGTAAACATTGCTCCTTTAGACACATAAAGCTGGGTCTTTTAAGGCCCTTGTTGGGTCTCAAGTAACATAGCTGGACAGGAGAAAGTAAATTATTATTATTATTATTTTTAAGAATTAATTTTATTCATTGTCATCTTTTTATTTCTTATTCTTTTTATTTTTATCAAAGTCGACCAGAGAGAGACAGAGATAGAGAAGGAAAGTGAGAAAGCAAGCTGCCAGGTCTGGCACTTGAACCATTCTCAGACATGTGGGAGTCTAGCCACCTTAACCTCCATGCCACCTGCCAGTCCCCTGAAAGTAAATTATTATACATTTGGGATGTCAGGTTGTTTGGAGGCTGGTAAGAAAATGATTAGTTTGAAAATAATTCTTGTTTAGAATGATGTATATAGTAAAGGTTGGGATCAGTTGAGAATTTTGAGCAACTCTCAGGAAATATGATCCTCTGTTCTGGATTTTCCAAAACATATTAGACTATCTCAAGATGGTTTAGTATTTTCTTACTAATACTGAAGTATTCTGAATTTCTAAAATCTAGGATGAATTTTGAAATCCATCATCCTCAGGAGAAATTATTTTCTTCCACCTTTTCCATAGTTTGTAATAACAACAAAATATAGTTAGAGAGTTCTAATTTAATTATATTTACAGGACTTAGTAACAGTTTTTTCTTTTTTTTTTTAAGCTAGGAAGCCACAAAGGTTTACAGAGAAAAATTGAATGTTTGATTATCTAAAGAGGGAGTTTGCTATCACAGTTATTAAGCTTAGTTGCAGTACCTACGAGAATTTCATGTTTTCAGGGATAGTTATAATTTAAAATATTAAGGCACTCTCACTTTTACTCTTATAGTTTTAAAATATTAAATCTGTTTTTTAATATAGTGATACATTTGTGCTTGGCTTACACATTCTATCTGATCATTAAGATTTGTGTTTGTCTTTGCCTTAAAGAGTCTAAATCTATTGCTTTTGAAATAATAGATACCAACATCTTTTTTATATATATTTATGTCTAAATTATACTTTTTAAAAATAATAATTTTTTAATTAAATTAATTAATTATTTTTATTATTATTTTTAAAATTCGCTATAGGGCACGTGTGCTTACAAAAGAGAGACAGACAGAAAGAGAGAGAGAGAAAGAGAGAGAGAGAGAGAGAGATAGGGAAAGTGAGAAAGCAAAACACCAGGTCTGGGTTTCTAACTGTGGTGGACCATGTGGGAGTCCAGTGCCTTAACCACCTGCTAGCCCCTAAATTATGCTTTATTAAAGATTTTCTAAACAGAGTTTATGATAAAGGGCCATATTACCAACATTTAATAATAAATAGAGATATTTATACATTTTAACATTCTGAAGAATAAAAAAAAAGTTAGCCCTAAGGATAGACTAGTTCTGTTTTGTCTTATTTGTACCGGTCCCTATGCAGAGGGAGTAACCCCTCTGTACCCATTAAATCAACACTGGAGTAATTTGCCTTACACAGTGTCACTGCAGTCATGTGGTCTGGATGCTGATGCTTGGCAGGCCACAGACACAGGCAAGGTCTGACTTCAGTTTCCAATCCATCCTAAAAGAATCCAGTGGAGCAGCGTGAGTCTGCAGTAGCAACTACTCAGGATGCTGGGGCAGGAAGATTGCACCATCGCATGATATCTAAAAACTCACCATGCACCTGTGAAGCACATGTATACATACACATACACAAACACAATCTGTCTTACAAATTAATTTAATGTAAACAAGTAATCTCCTTAGTATATTTAAGTGTTATATATACTCCAAAAATTTTCTCTAAAACCAACTGCTGGGCGTTATCCATAATGAAGTGTATTCTTTGTCAACTTGTAGAATTTTGACCTAAAGGACTTTGAAAAAGTAGGACAGGTGTTTATTATATTATGTGCTCTCACACCTGCTGAGTTCAAAAATTCATCATGCTTTTCTAGCAATATACATACATATATATTTTTTTTGAGAGGTTTTTGCTATAGGGCACGTGCACTCGCCAGACAGACAGAGACAGAGAGATAGAAAGCGATAAATCACCCCCCAGGGGGGATGGCCACGCCGCAATCCCTTCTCCTCCATTCTCTCGGGATCTTGGGCATGCATGCACACGCGCCTGGTGTGTCTTAAGTCACCAGGTCCGGGACGCAAACCACAGTTGACTACATGGGAGTCCAGCAACATAGCCATTATGCTAACTGCTGGTCCCTAGCAATACATATTTTTTAAATGTGCAATGACCAGTTATATCATGAACATGTTGTGTAAGCTATAGAACACCTCCAATCCAAAAGGCACCTGGGCTAACAATATTGCTTACAATCCTGTTGGTTTCATAACCCTCCCCTGACTCCTTGCAAACAATGCCGTCTGTGACTTTGGGTAAAAAATGGAAACATTTTTATATTGATTTTTGAATTTTCACTCTCATTAAGAATTACTCGATTTTCAGGCTTGATCTTTAGAAGAGTGAAATAAAGGGCCCGGGATTGCATCTATGCAGTCTTTGAAAGCTGATTGGACAGATACAACATAAATTCTTTATTTGTGTATTTATTTTTAAGCTATAGACTAACTCCTCAACACCACTTTCCTGCTCAGTTTGAAGATAGCATCACTGTAGTGAAGTTTTTTCTCCAGGATAAAATTCTTAGGAAATATGGAGTGGATCCCACCCGAGTATGTATTTCAGGAGACAGTTCCGGGGGAACTTTAGCTGCAGCGGTGACGCAACAGGTACATTCTATTAGTCTTTATGGTGGGATGTAGAGATTGGTCTTTCTTTTTCTCCCCAGACTGATACTCAGTTCTTCTGGAACAATGTGTTGGAAGATTATCCTTTCCTGGGACCAGCATTGGCATAATGGCTATGTCTCTGGACTCCCATATAGTCATCCATGGTTCGAGTCCTGGACCTGGTGGCTTAAACTCACAATGGGTGCATGTGCATGAGTGCCTGAAACCCCAAGAGGAGAATGGAGGAGAAGGGATTGAGGCATGGCCATCCCCCCGGGGGGTAATTTCTCGCTTTCGGTCTCTCTGTCTCTGTCTTTCTGGTGAGTGCACACGCCCTATAGCAAAAACCTCCCCCCCAAAATAAATAAATAAAGATTATCCTTTTCCACTAAATCACAGTAGCCTTTGAGTAAAAACACTGGCAACTCTAACATGACTCTTTCCTTTTGAATTCCTCTATTTCATTGACCTGTCTGTTCTTATGCCAATACTAGGCTCACTTCAACTTTGCTTTTTAAAAAAACGTCCTAGTACTCCATATCTTTTCTATCAAAGTATAAGCCATTGTGTCAGTTTGGGTTTGGATTAGGATTGCATTGACTCTATAGATTTTAGAAAGATTGGGATTTAAATCATATTGAGACTTGCAATTAATGTATATGACGAATTTCATATTTTATTAGATTCTCTTCAATATTGCATCTTACCAATATTTTACTCTTTTCAGTGTAACAATCATTTTTCAAATTTATTCCTGAGTTATTTTGGAAAAATTTTATTTAAAATAATATTTTCCAAGTGTTTATTGACATTATGTAGAAATACAATTGATTTTTATATTGACCTTTTACTATCACATTCTTCATAAATTCACTTATAATTCTGATAGTTCTGCTTTTTTAAAAGTTTCCTAGGATCTTCTACATAATCGTATCTTCAATAACTAGAGATAGTTTTAAATATTTCTCTGCAATTGATATGCCTTTCACCCTCTTATCTTTATTGGTGCACGAGCTTGGGCTTGTGTACAAAAGCGAACATAAAAGTCTTGTTTTGGATCTTAGGAGGAAACATTTCAATATTTCATCAATCAATATATTATCTGAAGGCTTTTGTCTGATTGAGGAAGTAATTTCTATTCCTCATTTGGTGATAGTTTTTGCATATGGATAGTATATTTGGCAAATATTTTTAATATATCTATTGAGATGAGCATGTGATTTTTCTCCTTTTTTTTGAAAAATAAATTATGTTGATTGACTTTCACATGTTAAATTATACTTATATCCCAGGTATAATCTTCACTTGTTTATAATGAATTAAAGCTTTTATATGTAGCTGGTTTCCATTTGTGTTTCGATTTATTAAGCTATGCATTTTTAGGGATTGATCTCTTTTTTAACCTCTGTCAAATTTTAATAGAAATGTTATACTAGACTCATTAAATAATTTGGAAAGTATTTCAGCTTATTTTTTCCCTTTTCTTTTCTTTTTAGAAACCAAATCTTTTTATTCCTACAGAAGACTCCTAAATATTTATTAAATTAATCCACACCAAAATCAATCAATTGATTAATTTTAATGTATTTACTCATACCAAGTTCCAAAAAAGACTTTGAAGTGGATGGAGTATAACTGACAAATGAAATAGTATATATTTAAATCATACAATGTGATATTTTGATGTGCATATACATTATAAAATTATTACTACAAATAAGCTAATTAACAGATACATTATCTCACATAATCACCATTTTTCTTCTGTGTAAGAACTTTATTTTTTTTGAGAGATTTTTGCTATAGGGCACATACGCTCACCAGAAAGACAGAGAGAGATAGAAAGTGAGAAATCTCCCCCAGGGGGATGGCCATGCCACAATCCTTTCTCCTCCATTCTCCTCTCGGGATCTTGGGCACACACACACACGTGCCCGGTGTGAGTTTAAGTTATTGGGTCAGGACTTGAACCGTGGTCAACAACATGAGAGTTCAATGACATAGCCATTATGCTAACTGCTGGTTCCCTCTGTGAAGAGCATTTAAAAATTACTCTCTTAGCAAATTTCAAGTGTGATGTGCAATACAATTAGCTTTAGTTACTATGCTGTATATTAGATCTCCAGAATTTTAGTTTGCATAACTGAAACTTTGGACCTCTTCACTACTGTCATCCATTTCCTCCATCCTCCAGACCCTGGCAACCAACATTCTAATCTCTGCTTCCACAAGTTTGTCGTTTTCAGATTGCACGAATAAATGAGCTCATGCAGTATTTGTCCTTTTCTTCCTGACTAATTTGATTTAGTGTAATGTCCTCTAGGTGCCACCATGTTGTCACAAATAACAGGGTTTTCTTTGTAAGACTGAGGAATCCACCGTATATGTTGTATGCATGTGTGAATGATCATGCAATGAACATGCAAATACAGATTTATCTTCAGATTATTGATTTTGGTATTGTTGGATATATCCCCAGAAGTGGGATTGCTAAATCATATGGTAGTTGTATTTTTATTTTTTCCATGAAACTACAGTGTTTTCATAATGGCTATACCAATTTACAACACATTCCCACAAACAGTGCACAAGGGGTCTCTTTCTTTTCTACATCTGCATCAATACTTGATTTCTTCTGTCTTTTTAATAATGCCCATTCTTGGGACCAACAGTTGGCGTAATGACTATGTCGCTGGACTCCAATGTAGTCGACTGCAGTTCGAGTCCTGGCCCCAGTGGATTAAACTCACGCTGGGCACGTGTGCATGTGTGCCCAGGATCCCAAGAGGAGAATGGAGGAGAAGGGATTATGGCGTGGCCATCCCTCCTGGGGGGTGATTCCTCACATTCTGTCTCTCTGTCTCTATCTATCTTTCTGGCGAGCGCATGAAAAAAAAAAAAAAAAGAAAAGAAATAATGGCCATTCTAACAGGTGTGAAGTTATATCTTCCTGTGATTTTGATTTGCATTTCCCTGATAATTGTTGATGTTGAACATTTTTTCATGTATTTATTACACATTTGTATATGACAAATGTGTAATAACTGTATCATGTATGACACAAAATGTATCACATTTTGTGGGTTGAGTCATACATGATACAGGGCAAAGTCAGGAAGCATCCCTTCTCTGACTTTGCCATCAATTTCTTCTCATCTACAACTTCTGAATCATACTACCTATGTTGGGATTTTTTTTTTTTAACAACAACAAATTGATGTAGGAGTAAAAATGGTACTAAATATCCAAGATGTTTAGCGTGGCATGGAACTTTCTATGACTGATCTCAAATTTTGCTTTAAAGTATATAGATTGAGGGCAAACAGGTGGCATGGTGGTTAAGGCACTGGACTCTCACATAGCTGACTGTGGTTCAAATCCCAGGCCTGGTGACTGTAGTTTGAATCCTGGGTGTGGCAACTTGCTTTCCCTCTTTTCCTTTCTCTCTCTCTCTCTCTCCCTCTCTGGTCAAATTAAAAAAAAAAATAGATAATGATAACAAATAAAATTAAATAAATAAGTAATTATTTTTAAAAGTATGTAGACTGAAGAGATCAGTCTTTACCACGGTGTTAGTAAACTATTCTCTCTGTGACAATAATATGAGTGTCATGGCCTATAACCTGAACAACCAAACTGGATGGTTTAATAAAGTAAGGCAAAGAGGCTGGTAGGTGGCATAGTGGTTAAGGATGCTGGACTCCCACATGGCTGAACTCAGTTCAATTCCTGGACCTGGTGGCTTGCTTTCTCACTCTCTCTTTCTCTCTGGTTGAATTAAAAAACAATAATATTAAGTAAAAGTTAAAAAAAATGATTCTTTTTTAAAAATAATTACTTATTTTATTTTTTATCTAGTCATTCATTTATTTTTTAATTTGACCAGAGAGAGACAGAGGGTGAGAGTGAGAGAAAGAGGAAGTGAGAAAATAAGCCACCAGATTCAGGACTTGAACCCTGGTCAGCCATGAGGGAGTGTCCAACGCCTTAACCACCACGCCACCTGCTGGTCCTAAATAAAATGGTTCTTAAAAAAATAAATAAAGCAGGACAGAATGAATCATTTATATGAAATAATTTTACTGTAAATGTCATAAATTTAGGGATAATGGAATTGAACAAAAGCAAAGTTGAATGCATAGTATCTATTGTTTTCCAAATTAAACCATGTTAATGTTGAAAATAGTCAAGCATAAGAATGGCTTTGTTGAATATCTTCCATAACCCTATTACTGAGTTAATAGATCTTTATAATAATAAGAAGTAATATAATTTTAAGTGGACAATTTAACTACAGTCACTAGTATCCGTAACTGTAGGATATTATCTTGAGCTGGATAAGGTTTCTCAATATTTTGACCTTTTACTTCCATTGCTTTTCTTTCTAAAGTAATAACATTCTGAGATGAATGTCATACATTTTCAAATAGTTCAAATATCAAATATTCCACATTTTTCTTACAAATCAAACTTTGTAAATATCAAGTTTGTCTTCATAATTTTCTCCCTTTGCTTCTCAAAGGTTGACCCCTTTTTTTCAGAAGATAAGTTGCCTATCAATTATTGGTCTTTTCTTTTTTTTTTCCCAATTTGTCCCATATACTTTCACATTTGAATGATATTTTTAAAAAATTTATGGTGTGGTGTTAGTAGCATTTGCCTAATAGGCAAAACAATTTTTAAAATTGTTTTAAATATTCAAAAATGTATTAAAAATTATTTAAAATAAAATATTTTAATGGTTATATTTATTTTTCCATGGACTTTGGTTACTTATAGTTGAGAATAATTTTTATAATTGTATACCATCCATTTTCCCAGGAATATCATATTTAGAATTGGGTTATTTCCATTAGTGATTTTGGACAAAAAAATATTATATGTATCTCCTCTTTCATTTTCCTTTCTCTGGGTTTCTCTCATTGCCTATCTTTCTTTCTCATACATAAAACCAATATTTAAAAACTTTTTAATGTTGGGCTGGCAGGTGGCATGGTGGTTGAGGATGCTGAATTCCCACATGGCCGACCACGGTTCGAGTCCTCAACCTGGTGGCTTGCTTTCTCACTTTTCCTTTCTCTCTCTATCTCTCTCTGGTCAAATTAAAAAATAATTATAACAAATGAAATTAAATAAATAAATATTTGAAAAAAAAAACCTTTTTAGTGTTAATTTGGGCCTTGACTTTTTTCATGTCGTTGAAACATACATATTGTAAAAATTATTATTGCATCAATTTATGCAGATTTGGCTTATCTCATCATTCTTTAAATGATTAGAATTAAATTTTATCCTCCTTTTGTTTTGGAAATCTTTGCCTTATGAGATATTATCATCTTTTTTTTTTTCAGGTGCAGAATGATCCTGAAATAAAACATAAAATCAAAATGCAAGCTTTACTTTACCCCGCCTTGCAGGTCATTGATTCTCGTTTGCCATCTCACCGAGAAAATGAGCATGGTATAGTTCTGACTAGGGATATAGCCATAAAACTGGTGAGTTTATATTTCACCAAGGATAAAGCCCTGCCCCAGGCAATGAGAAGAAACCAACACATGCCTCTGGAGTCAAGACCTCTATTTCAGTTTGTCAACTGGAGTGTTCTTCTTCCTGAGAAGTATAGAAAGGACTATGTTTATAAAGAACCAATTCTTGGGAGATCTAGCTTTTCCTTGCCAGCACTGATGGATTACAGAGCATCCCCTTTGTTGGCCAATGACTCCCAGTTACAGACTTTGCCGCAAACCTATGTTCTCACCTGTCAGTATGATCTCTTAAGAGATGACGGACTGATGTATGTTTCCAGGCTTAGAAGTGTTGGAGTTCAAGTTGCTCATGACCATATCGAGGATGGAATCCATGCGGCTTTATCATTCATGACGTCACCATTTTACTTACAGGTCGGTCTTAGGATAAAAGATATGTATATCAATTGGCTGAATAAGAATTTGTAAATATGTAAAATATGTAATGTATATGTACAGCGCTCCTGTAGTGGGTTGTAATATGTAGTATTTGGCAAAAACGATGACATTTGTGTTGTTTAAATCTATATTTCAATTCTTTGTAACAGTGATCATGTGTACTTGCATTTTCAATTTTCTTACTTGTAGACCTTGATTGTGTAAGATGTATGTAATCTTGTCTATTTTTCCTTTAATTATAATGTATTATAATTATGTCAGTCTTAACAGAGACCAGCCATTATTAAGATTGAGAAACAAAAATGGTTATTGACAAATTAAGGACAATCATTTCCAAATAGCTACAGAAATTGTAGTAGTGTTGGGGGGGAGAGATAAAAACAAAGGGGAAAAAAATCTTGCTAAATATATGTGGAAACCATTGAACTGCATTAATTCCAAAGGCAATGTGTTACTGGGTCATCTGAAAAGTCATGACATGTTTTTCCTATGTTTTTCTATGCAAAAATGCATTATGATTCTTCCAACAGCCCAATAGTTTCTTGTGACTGAAGTAACAAATTACCACAAATTTTGTGACTTAAAATAGCAAAAAATGTATTTTCTTTAAGTTCTGTAAACCTAATGTCCAAGATTATATAGATGTGCCAACGTGAAGGCACTGGCAAGAGTCACACGCCCTCTGGAAGCTCTAGAAGAGCTCTTTGCCATTTTCATCTTCTGGTGGCAGCTGGTATTCCTTGATGGGAACCAAATTACAATTTCGTAGACCAGAATCTTCAGATCTCTCTCTGCTCCATCCTCAGATGCTTCCTGTCTGCCTGGGTCAGGTCTCCTCTGCCTCTGCTTTAGGAAGATAGTATACAGGTGTTAGTATTTAGAAGCGTCAACCCGAATCATCGAGAACAATCTTCCATTTCACAATCTTTAATTTAATTACATTTGCAGATACTCACTGTTCCTTGCCCCCTTTTTCCAAATAAAATAACATTCATGGGGATAGGATATAGGTGTAAGAAGCCATTTTTTCAAACGTCTTTTGTCAATTTTTTTTGTCATTTTTTTTTTTTTTTTTAATTGCCAGGGAGCTCATGAAGTGGGGTGAGAGGGTGAGAAAGTGAACCCCCCCAAAATCCATTTCCCTCTATTTTGTCTTCACATCAGAATTTTGGGCACATATACGCATGTACCCAGAGGGGTTTCAAGGTGTCAGGAGTTGAGTTGCAGTAGGCCTTGTAGGATCTGGCTCCCAATGCATAGTACCCAACCACTGCACCATGGCCCCATGTCAAGCTAAGTTTTACTTATTTTTTTTAAAGCAGGTGAATATTGTAATTCAAGAATCTAATTTAAATTCATATTCATTAATGAAGCACATCTAAGAATGAAGTAGAAAACTTTTTTTCCCAAAGCCTTCAAATACATCATCCTAAATTATCCACATAATACATTGCTTCTGCAGGCCTTTTATTGTTTTAAACAAATAAACAAATAATAAAACATTGACAACTTATTGTAGTAAAGTCAAATCTGAGGTACGGTAATATGAGTCTTGGGTTGTAAATATAATCAATTAAATAAAATTAAAATGTGGTAAGAAATTGTGCATTTGAACATCTACATCTACAAGCAACTCGATCTAAGAACAACTGTGATATCCAACTTGTTGAGGACAGATATTACTGTCAAACTTCCAGTTTTCAGAAGGCAATTAAAGAGTATACTATCAACTTACAAACCAAATGGAAACTTTTTAAGTGTAAAAAATCAATTATGCGTGGGAACCAGCAGTTAGCGTAATGGCTTTGTCGCTGGACTCCCACGTAGTCGACCGTGGTTCATGTCCCGGACCCGGTGGCTTAAAACTCACGCCAGGGCGCGTGTGCGTGCGTGCCCAAGATCCCGAGAGGAGAATGGAGGAAAAGGGATTGCGGCGTGACCATCCCCCCTGGGGGGTGATTTCTCGCTTTCTGTCTCTATGTCTCTCTCTGTCTATCTGGCGAGCGCACGCGCCCTACAGTGAAAATCTCTCCAAAAAAAAAAAAAAAATCAACTATGCTCGAAGAATCATTTTTCTTAAATACTATTTTAACACCCCAAGGATAAAAAAAAAAAAAATGACTATCATAGGTGAAAACAAAATAAATGTCATTAGAATCAGTTCTTTTTCCCCAATGAGGTATAAAACCTATATGGAAACTTAATATTATGTATCTTAATGACCATCAGTTCTTATTGTTTTGATTTAATCACCTTAAAATTCCTTTAAAATGTATTTTTTTAGAGAGATTTTTGCTGTAGAGGACATGTGCTGACCAGAGAGACAGAAAATGAGGAAATCACTCCCCAGGGGGTGGGGTGGACACACCGCAATCGTTTTTCCCTCACTCTCCTCTTGGTATTTTAGGCATGCACATACACATGCCTGGTGTGAGTTTTAAGCCACCGGGTCTGGGACTTGAACCATGGTCAACTATGTGAGAACTCAGTGATGTAACCATTATGCCATCTCCTGGTCCCTAAAATGAAATTTTTAAGTTGTAATTTTTTTCATGGCACTGAATCTAGTTCCAGTTCTTTTTTCATCACTTAGTACTGTGTACTTACTGGCTACAGTTCTACTTAAAAAAAAAAAAAAAAAAAAATCTTGGAAAATTCTTCGTTAAGCAGCGTTGTCAGGAAACTGCAATGTGCAAGCAAACCATAAAATATACACTCTCCAGAAAACACACTCTGTTGATTGTCCTGTCGTTTGAATATGTATCCATATTTTTTTCTTTTTTTTGGAGAGGTGTTTTTTTGTTTGTTTGTTTTGCTATAGGGTGCATGCACTCGCCAGAAAGACAGAGAGAGACGGAGATAGAAAGCAAGAAATCACCCCCCAGGGGGATGGCTACACCACAATCCCTTCTCCTCCATTCTCCTCTCGGGATCTTGGGCACACATGCACATGCACCCGGCGTGAGTTTAAGCCACCAGGTCCGGGACTCGAACTGCGGTTGACTACATGGGAGTTCAACAGCATAGTCATCATGCCAACTGCTGTTCCCTGTATCAATAATTCTTGACTAAAGATCTTTTCCAATGTGTGACTACCAGTGTGTATAGTCTCACTAGTACGAAGTTTCACATGCTATTAACTAACTTCTGATGTTCAGTAATTATGGTTTACATTGCTATTTCACACTGTAGTGATGTTTTAATGACTTCAGCTAATTTTAAAATATTAGGATATAGTTTACTTCCACTTTGTGACCCTGTGTTTCTGTTATGCTTTCACCATCTATAGAGAGGTTATTGTGTTCATTAGTAGTATAACTCTGAATGGAATTTAATCTCACGTATTTTATGCTACTTTTTATGTGAAAATAGTTATCTGTCAATTACTGAAAACAAAAAAGTACTTTGAGAGAAGAGGCCATGACTTCGTGTATTTTTTTTACTTTGTGGCTCTGGAGCTCCCTCTTCTGCTGTTCTTGTGAAATACTCCATTTTGTTATGACAATGTAATCTGTCTTTCCTCCCTGTCTGTCCTGCTCAGTTGAGGTTCCATTCCCAGCTGTTTCTACTTAGTGTGGAGCTCTGCACTGGAAGAGGGTCTCATTGGTCATGTAGAAGGGTAATAAGACCTAGACTCTTCCATTCCTTAAAGATCTAATAATGGGTAGTTAGTACTCACCCTCTATTAGGATGTGTGCACATTACACAGTTTCAACTATTTTCCCAAATTTGTAATTACAAAGTTAGGTGAATACATCTTGGTTAGTTTCTAGTTAGACACATAATCTCTCTGCTTCCTGTTGCACAGAGTCTTAAATTCTTGTAGCGACTGGTGGATCATTCCCAGTGCATTTGGGAGCTTGCGTGGATAGCTTATTTTGCCTCTCATTTTGCTTCCTACTATGTCATTCAGTTTCATGATCTGTTATACTCTTTAGGTTCCATGGAAGAAATTTGGAAAATTTCATAAGCAAAGAACCCATAGTAGAAGATTTTAACTCATGTTTTTTCAGTAACTGCCAGCGCCTGTCCCGGGGCTTGGTTCTAGCTTAATCATGATCAGGGGGCTGATGGTGATGAAGAGAAATAGAGAAAAAGGAAGCCCTTCATTTTGAAAGGATCGGGAAATCGGAAAGAATGAGATAAAGAGAGTAACAGTGGACACAGGCAGCCTGAGTCTAGGTAGCCCAAAGACCCAAGCTGGGTGTCTTTATTTATAGTACAAGGAGACACTACACATGTATGTTTCATAACACTTCATAGATTTGTTGCTAGGTTACAGACAATAAGAAGCAGGTAACAAATCTATTGGGGCTTAGTCATACTGGGCCAGGTGTATCCCTTGATGATAATCCCATCAAGAGAAACTCCCATTATCTTCTTTTCTAGTGGAGAGAAACCCAGCTGCAGGTGTGGGGAAGTTACATGAGGCTAAAGAATCTCTCCATAAGGCCGGCACCACCACATCCAGAGAAGGCTAAAGAATCTTTCAGATGCAGAGCACGGATTGGACTTTGCTAATTGGGGTCAAGATATTTCTTGAACTCCATCAGATGTGTCTGTTGGATTGCCCCTAGCAAACTCCACCCTTTGCTCTGTCCACAGCAAGGGTTAAGGGAAGGACAAATTGTAAGGTTCTGCCAAAGCCCAAAGGGACAGGTGGTCTTTGCTCAGAGCATGTCCCCACATCTCAGGGTCTCTCTCTGAGCATGTCCCTACAAATAACTCATAGAAAAACAGACAAAAAAAATAATGTCTAGAGAATATTTTAACAGCATGATTAACAAAATTGATTTAATTTACACATCTCAAAATCAAATGACTTTTTGTTTTTTCAAATGATTTTTTCTAAGAGAGATTTTTGCTATAGGATGCGTGCACTCACGAGAGAGTCAGAGAGAGACAGAAAGACAAAAAGTGAGAATTCACACACACACACCCTCCCTGGGAGGATAGCCACACTGCAATCCCTTCTTCTCCATTCTCCTCTGGGGATTTTAGGCACGCATGCACACATGCCCATTGTGAGTTTTAAGCCACTGGGTCCAGGATTGGAACTGCAGTCAATTACATGAGAGTCCAGCAACGTAACCATTTATGCCATCTGCTGGTTCCAGTCTGCATCTTTTTCAATGGTAAGAGTTCTTAATTTTTAGTAAGCAGATTTGTGCAACAGATTATCTCATTGTGTGTGTATGTTTTCTGGCTTTTGTTTTTGCCTTTCATGCTTTTTAAAAATTTTATAAACTCTTATTTACATGTAATTGTTGCACATCTTTATGAGGTACAAAATGTTTTCTCAATGCATATATGTGATAATCAGATCAAGGATATTAACGTATACATTGTTTTCAACAAAAACCCTTACATTCCTGTGTCTGTTAAATGCTTTTATCATTGTGTGTCTTTTAAATTGCCAGAGGGTG